AGTCAGTTATAAATTCCTTTGTTCTAATTATAAATAAATTATCATCCAATAGGCTTTGATTAAATGTCCAATATCCTCGCCCACGTGGAAATTCAGTAAGAGTAATGTATATGCCTATTATATGATGGTCCGACCGCATTCTGTCCCCTATCAACACTTTTTTTTACTTTTGGTGCCAACGAGAATGAGATAAGAAAGAAGTCAAGACGACTAGCTTGATTCAGTCTCCGCCATGTATATCTCACTAGATCAGTATATTTAAGCCTCCATATATCTACTAGTTCTAATGTATCCATGACATTCACAATTTCCTTAAGAGCATGTGGGTGATTGTTTGTGGTGTGATTTCCTTTACAGTCCATTGAGCTATTTAAAACAGTATTATAATCCCCCACCATAATAATATTGTCTTGAGTTGCTTGCAGGCTTGATAATTTATTATATATATTGTCAAAGAATTGTGGATCATCATTATTTGGTCCGTAAAGGTTAATGAGCCATATCTGTTTATGGTCCAATAACATATTTAAAATAATCCATCTACCTTGTGTATCTATTTGTACAATTTGCACATTCGGATCGAAATTATTATTAATTAATATCATCACCCCTTTTGAATTTCTTTGCCCATGGGAGAAGTATATTTCCCCCCCCCCCATTCTTTTTTCCACGCTACTTCATCTCGAATTGTTGAATGAGTTTCCTGTATACAATAGATATTATATTCCTTCTCTTTGAGCCATGTAAATATTGTTCTTCTTTTGTTATTATCAGCTAAGCCATTACAATTATAACTGGCTATACTTATTTCACCATACACCATAATGAGATACAAGTTTCAAGTCTATTTATCATTATATATGTTTTTAAATGTACCAATAAAAAAATAGCGTAATGATTGAGTGTCCATATAGCTGTACCGTGATATTTGCACTGCTACGGAGCAACCCTTCAATTGTTCTCCACTAATTCCCCCGCTAAAGCCCCTCCCCATCCCAAGTTGAGCCGTCATCCCAGTGATCAGCATCCCACCCACGTCCCTCCGCATCCCTAAGGCCCCGAGAGGCTGTGTGGTCTTAAATGTGGGAGTTAATGTCTTGTAAAAATTTATTAGAACCACATTAAAGCTACAGTTTGGGATTTGGGAAGCTATTCAATGGTTATTTCAATTATTTATATTTATTTACCCATTGGTTTTTGAATAATATAACTTTTAAATGACTTTTAAGGTTAGCACAACTGTCTGTCTTTATCATAACCCAAAATATATGGTTTTATTACTCAATTACAATAATGTAAATAAACAATGCATAGCTTAAAATCATGGTAACAACTACCTGTTGGATGTCATGGACTGTCCTTCCTTGCATCTAGAGCTCTGTCAAGGAATTTGAGAGCGGTTACATTTCCCAAACCACATCCCTCAGCTCTATACCAAAATAAATGGCAGATGCTGTTTTGTAGTTTTTCCCAAAATGTAGCTTTAAGACTGTGTTGTGTTCTGAACCATGAACCACAAACCATGGTTTTGATCTGAGGGTCTGTCTGTCGACTCCATCTCTGCAGTGTGAGCTGAGCATGAGTCTAGTACGAAGACCCTATGGCTAAATGAGGTGCATGACAACTCTGCATCCATTTATCATTGTGTAATGATTACTATGTTCCAGCAGAGGGCAGCAGCTCAGCAATGACTAAGTTAAAACTAGTCCATATTCAGTATGTAATAGTCTGTCTGCCATTGAGGGAGGCATGTTTACACCAACAGCAGCAGGAAGAGAGTTAGAAACAGTGATGTCTAAGTAGATAATAGGCAGCCAGCAATACAGTCATTCTCTTTGGTGTCTTGGTCCTTGACACATGTACACTCAGACACATACCCACACATGGCTCCTCATCTCTTACTGTCCCTCTCCCTTCCTCTCATCTTTTTCAGACTCTCAGGTAAGGGTCATTTGTTTCTATGAAGTGATTAAAGGGCCAATGCAGCCGTTTTTATCTCAATATGAAACAATTTCTGGGTAACAATTAAGTTCCTTACTGTGATTGTTTTCAGTTAAAATGGTCAAAAAGAAACAAAAATAGTTTCTTAGCGATGAGCAATTTCTCGTGTTTAGCAGATGCTTGTGTTTCTAGCTCCGACAGTGCAGTAATATCTAACAAGTAATATCTAACAATTTCATAACATATACCCAATACACACAAATCTAAGTAAAGCAATGGAATTAAGAATATATAAATAAATATATGGACGAGCAAAGTCAGAGTGGCAAAGACTAAGATACAGTAGAATAGTATAGAATACAGTATATACATATAGATATGTAAACATTATTAAAGTGACTAGTGTTCCATTTATTAAGGTGGAACTTTTCCGCGTTAAGGAGGAAATCGGCGCCTTTGCAGCCTGAATGGAGAATGTTTTAGGTACGAACCGGTCCACAGGGGATACGAGTGTATAGCCGACTGCATCCGTTCCCTTTGGACGGTAAGATGAAACAACTCAATATCGTCATCTGCCGGCCTTTGGGCTTCTGTTGCATCTGCAGATGCTGTGTCTGTATCTGTGAAGACAGGAGTCTCCATCACCATCCTATATTGCTCTGATCAGATATACTTAAACCATTTGAAATACTGGTGTAAAGGAGATCATTTTGATAGTTGCTCCTTTGTTGTACGCATTGACCATCCTAAGAACAGTGGTAAGGCCTCAATCGAATAAAAAGCATGAATAAAAAATAAACAAAATTAAATTAAAAAAGTAGATGTGCTGACTACCGGGCAATAAACTGTAAGCTATAAAAACAAAGAGAGTCGCACACTCCATATGTATAACCTCCCAGTCATTTATTGGGTAAAAAACCCCACCAACATTTCGGCATAACTGTGCCTTCTTCAGGGTAATGTCATAAATGCTTGAACCAGGTTATGTAGACAAAGTGCAATTAGTGCAATCAATGACAGTAGTGAGGGGTGTGTCGTAATTGCTAGGTTGATCAGAATTAATTGAGCGAAAGAATAGCCCACAGCATATTGAATATATTATGCCATTGTTATCATTAGCATTAGCATAACGTTAGCATCAACATACATTGTTTCATTTAATTTAATCTATATATTTAAATATTTCCAATTTCATTAAAAAATGTTGTTACATGTCATCTTTTTGTTCAACTTTAATCTCTGACATCAACCAGCAAACCATCACTGTGACCATGACTGATCTAGAGCCAGAGGACTCAGATATCAGATATCCTGATACAATGGTTCTACCTATCTGTCACTCCAGGTAAGATCCATGCAACTCTTACAACTCAGTAAAGCAGAATAGATAGTTCTCAGTAATGATGAGACAATCAGAAATAGCTTGCTTCCACAAACTACATGACTGGTGTTCTCATTTCATTTCCTGGTAACTGGTTCCTTTCCAGGTAACTGGTATCACTATTATTGTTCAAGCTGACCTGACCTGAGGAATGTTGGTGTATGTCTAATTTATGTTCTCTATCAATTGATGATAGTGATTATTCTGGAAGTAGTCAGTTGTTACAAAAACATTCAATAGAGGCTCCTGACTTCTTCCTTTGGTGTGTGTACCTCTGTGTTCAGGTACTCCATAACTCTATGTGGACCAACAGTAGGTGACTGGAGTAGACAGAGGGAGTGTCACTGTCAATTGTTGCCATAATGCCACTAGAACTCTGAAGTGTTGCAGGGTGGGTATTCCTTGTGTGGCGGAGGGGTATCCTGGGACTTTAGATGGAACATCAGTGACATTATAGCAGACCACTGATGCTGCCGAAGGAAAAGTAGTGAAGGTAAGTTGACATAGGATTGAAAATTAACTGTTATTAAGACAATAGACAAAGATAATATTATTCTTATTTATAATATATAATATATTTATACAATATACTTAATATATAAATCCTATCAGTCGTTAACCAATGTAACCGTGCAAATACAACTAACATTTTTTATTTATTTTTGTCATTTAGCAGACACTTATCCAGAGGAACTTACCCTGGCATTACAAATGCCATGCTCTACCAACTGAGCCACACAGGATATGATTTATTTTACTTCATATTGCCGTGCAATATAGGGAAATAACGCACACTCAAATGTTTAGTTTATTTAGTAAACATTTTCTGAACTCTATTTTCTTAAAACGGCATTGTTGGTTAAGTGCTTGTAAGTAAGCATTTCACGGTAAGGTCTACACCTGCTGTATTCGGCGCATGTGACAAATAACATTTTATTTGAAATGATGCCCTTCAAGCCAATCAGAAATGAGTATTCAACAATGCCATAGTATAATATAATAATATAATTTATATTACCCCAGGATTAATATCAGTAATAAACTGCTCCCTGTGGTTGAACCTAGCACACCTGCTATCAGCCTACCTGACAGACTCTGGGATACCACCTTTGAGAAACACAACATTAAGAAAAAGACATAGGGGCCCTGTTTACTTATTAGAGAATAGCCCTGCCTGAGACATGTAAGCCCAATTGTCACCCTCGGACTAAAACGATTGTTTAATAGTTAAAAAGAAATTTAAGGAGAATATTACAGTTTTTTCCCCCTTCACTTTGTTTTACAGGAAATGATCAGCACTCTTCACCAGTAGTGTGTTCTCCTACCCTTGTATATATGCCCAAATATAGGCAAAATATAATTTCAAAGTTGTTAGCTGAAGAGGTTTTTAAAGATGTTGTTCTGCCTATCCTTGTTTGATCCAACGTTGCACTCATAGTGTTTGTAATAATGTGTAGAGCTCTTGCTGAGTGAGAAACACTCCCGGCTGTATGCACATGTATGCCTCCCCACCGGAGATCAGGGTTCAATTCCTGACTCCACCCTTTCTCCTTCCTTTCCACTTACCCATCTCTTTCTACAACTTTCTAATTAAGTATACAATTTCTGAAACAAACCAGTGTTGCAAACCAGTGTCAATGCAATATACAAATATTTATTGAAAGTGAATACTGATGTAGCCTATAGTTTGAATGTGAAGTCACTTCAAATATTGTATATCAACCACAGAGACAAGAGATTGGCTACAGAACCTACAAGGTGCATGCAACACGTTCCACTGGAATTGGTTTATTACAGAAGCAATGCTAGAATTAGAAACATAGGCGTTCTGTACAACAGTTCTGAAGTCAGAAATATCATACCCTTGAAACAGTTTGCAACTTGTGTACAGTATGCAGCCCTAAACAATAAAACCTGTGTAGTTAAGTGAATGTCTCAGTCATTGATCCAGCTCATTATTCTTCTGTGACTTCAGCAGTACCTCAGTCTTCTCCATTGGTAAGACAAAGATGGGATTTCTGGAGAGAGAAGGACATTTTCTTTTTATGTATGTTGTCACTACACACCTCATGTCACATTTGACTATATAACAGAGGTAGCACCACAGGTCCCACAGTGGTGTGGCCCTGTTATTTTTCCTGATCTGGTAACCTAACCAGAGGCAGCCGCTGGCACCTTAATTGGGGAGGACGGGCTCATTGTAATGGCTAGAATGGAATTCCATTCCATTTACATTATAATAATAATAATATGCCATTTAGCAGACGCTTTTATCCAAAGCAACTTACAGTCATGCGTATATACATTTTTGTGTATGGGTGGTCCCGGGGATCGAACCCACTACCTTGGCGTTACAAGTGCCGTGCTCTACCAGCTGAGCTACAGAGGACCACATGCAACTCTTACATTGGAATCTTGCACATTCCATTCCATTTACTCCATTCCAGCTATTTTTATGAGCCGTCCTCCCCTCAGCAGCCTCCTGTGAACCTACAGTATGATGTGATTAATCTGTTATAGAAAGGTTTAATATGGGCTATGATGGGACCAGAGTTTTTCTAATCAGGTCACATGGTTAAAAAAAAACTCCTGGCTTTGGGGAGGATGAAAACCCTATCAAACTGCAGCAACCTTGTACTTATTCATATTAATGATATTTTTTTAAAGGACTAGGGGGATTTCCTATACACAGAGAAAGCAACATGATTGGTGAAGGGGGAAGCTATATCCCAATATGGCGACCGGAGTATGGGCGAGTGGGTGTGTCGAAAGGAAAGCGGTGGGTGTGTGGAAAGGAGTGGGTGTGTGGAAAGCGCTCCGCTATAGGTTACCAGCGGTATTCAACTCTACGAGGTCTGGAGCCTGCTGGTTTTCTGTTCTACCTGATAATTAATTGCACCCACCTGGTGTCCCAGGTCTAAATCAGTCCCTGATTAGAGGGGAACAATGAAAAAATGCTTCGATGTCCAGAGTTGAGTTTGAAGGGGTTAGATGGTTTTAATTGAGCTGTGTTTTTTTCTTCCGTTTCTTACCACGCAACTACCGTACATTGAGCTACTGTACCGCGAGAGTTTGGACTTCTGTTTTGAAGGACGCAGTCATATTTCACTGTTAGTTTTAGACAAATATATATATACAAGTGATAATGCCCTCGAAGCCGGTGTTTGCAGGATATATTGGCACGGTTTGTCAGCCCTCGACTCAGTCTCGGGCCTAACAACACCCGTGCCAATATATCCAACAAACACCGGGATCTCAGGCATTATCACTTAACTATGCAATTGTAGGCCTAAACTATGTCAGCTATTGTGTTTATTGATTAATTCCAGTTAATAATTTTGGATGGAAAAGGTGTAGGTAGCCTGGTCAGCCCAAGTTTTAATTTAAACCAAATTTGATCCAATTCACATTTTTTCACAAACAAATGGGCTATAAATACACAACATTACCTCTTCATTTACCCTGGCTAGAGGGACAGGGCCCATAGTAGGCTAGACTATGCAGCTGCTGTTGTTAGTAGCCTACAGTTGATCAGACTGAAAAATATTATATTTTCCATGCAATACAACATGTCAGATCGCTAATGTTTAGGTGTAGGCTGATACATTTATGGAAGAGTTTTTGCTTGTGTCTGTCGGGAGTGATGTTATCACACTTGCTTAACAAATACAGGAGGAACGCGGAGAGCGCGCCTTGAGCTTTGTGGGTTGTGCCCGGCTCGCACGACCTGCAATTTCCGTGAATCTCATTGGTCAAGACATGCAAAGAGCCTGCAGCAGCACTTAGATGTGAAGGACAGAGAAATTGTGCAAGAGTTGACAAATCGGTCTAAAAAACAGCACTATGCCCATCTTTTTAACGCTTTGCGTCGATATATTTTATTAAACTAAATCAAACTGATTGAAAAGTGCTGTGGCATATCCCTTACAAAAAAAAGATTGCAGTTTTGAAACTGCAGTAAAAGTGCAGTAATTACTGCAGTAAAAAAACTGTGTCATTTTGGATGCAGTATTTGCAGCATACTGCAGTTATACTGCACTCTGACGGCAGTGTACTGCAGTTATACTGTACTCTGACTGCAAGGGATGCCGCCTTGTCACACGTTTTCCTGGCAGCCCTGGTAGACAGTGGTGTAAAGTAACTAAGTAAAAATACTTTGAAGTACTAAAGTTTACTCCACTACATTCTTAAAGAAAATATGTACTTTTTACTCCCATACATCTTCCCCTAACACCCAAAAGTACTCGTTACATTTCACATGCCTGGCAGGACAGGAAAATTGTCAAATTCAAGCACTTATCATGAGAACATGTGGTCATCCCTACTGCCTCTGATCTGGCAGACTCACTAAACACAAATGCTTTGTTTGAAAATGATGTCTGAGTGATGGAGTGTTCACCTGGTTATCCGTAAATAAATCAAAAACAAGAAAATCGTGCCATCTGTTTTGCTTAATATAAGGAATTTGAAATGATTTATAGCAATTACATTTACTTTTGATACTTAAGTATATTTAAAACCAAACACTTTTAGGCTTTTACTCAAGTAGTATTTTACTGGGTGACTTTCACTTTTACTTGAGTCATTTTCTGTTAAGGTATCTTTACTTTTAGTCAAGTAGGACAATTGGGTATTTTTCCACTACTGCTGGTATATACTGTAACAGCAGGTTACAAATTACACTGACAATCTTTGTGAAGTCGGCTGGGTTACCTTTTTTTTGTTTGTTCAATGTCCTCAATGGTCTCTGGCAGCCTTGCATTGTGGGTTTCTGGGAGAAGGAAGGCCACCAAACCAGACAGAATGGACACACAACAGATGATGACTTCAGGGAGGGGCTTCCATGTGTCCTCCAATAGGATGATGAGGGGTGCTATGGACACGCCCAACCGAGCCATGAAGTTACTGTAACCCAACCCATTTTGTCTGTTAGGGAGAAAATGTTGATAGTGAGACTCAGAAAACTCCTGCTGAGACTGAGGCTGTCCTAAAACAGGTATTTTGCCATCAATGGGACAACATGGTAAAATAAAGGTTACATTTATTTTATTTATGTTTGTTCTTTTTGTTATGCGGCCTGAGCAACTCTCACGGTGCCCCCGATGCACTGACTTTGCTGATAAATACTTTGTTGAGGGAAAATGTACTTGATACGATTGTGATGTGTTGTTGTCTCACCTAGCTATCTTAAGATGAATGCACTAATTGTCAGTCGCTCTGGCTAAGAGCGTCTGCTAAATGACTAAAATGTCAATGTAAAATGTTAAATAAAGCATGCTTCAGTTTGTGGAAATCAGTTCTAATCGTGTTTTACTGTGAAAATGCACTGGTAAATCTGACCTTACGACCGTAGGGTAGAGTTCAGCTGTATACAAGATGACAGTGGTGAAGGAGGCCTCTGATAGGCCTTTCCCAAGCACGGCCACGATGGTGCGAACGTGCCACTGACCTGAACAGAGGAACAAAACAACATATCCTGAGGATAAGACTGTCATCTCTCAAACAGTGGACGACAAAAGACAAAATAAACATCCCTGACTGTCCCATTTACCCCACATAATAATTTATAAATTCATTTTGGGTAACACTTTATTATAAACGTTCATTTAAAAACTATTTATACAATTTTTATATTTCTTTATTCATATAATTTATTTGCTTATAAGCATTATAAGTATTATAATTCATAATTAATTTACAACCATTCATTATCGTTTATAAAGCAATTATAATGGCCTATTTATGTAGTCACCTTTGGGCAGAAAGATGTTGATGGCGATGCAGGTTCCCGTTAGCAGAAGGGTACCTGCCTGGCAGTGTTTCCGACCAATGGTATCGAGACAGAAGTAGATGATCATCTTGGCGGGCACCTCGATGGCAGAGTAGATAAAGTGGGTGAGGTAGACGTTCAGGCCAAACTCTGTAATGTTTAAACTGATCCCATAATATGTTGAGGCCACGCCATACCTGCGAGGAGAGGACACACTAAGGTCTGCATTGTGTTTGTCATAAGTTGCACCTCTGTCACTCGGTCGCGTCATGCCGTTGTTATGAACGGTCTCAAGCCGCCCTCTATAGCAGTGCCCTAAAGTGGTGATAAGCCCAGTCATTTTGGATGGAGGCTAATGACTGTTTAGTCTAAATTACACTATAGTGCCTGGAAATACCATGACATTGCTTAAGTAGTCGATAAGACCTGCATTATGTTTGTCTTGATATAGATAAAAGATAACTCATAGACACATAAGGACACTTTCTCGGAAACAGATGAATCAAGGGCTCTATCCAATCAGATCCGCTTTCGCCGACATCCGCATAGCAGAGGTGTCGGAGGTGGAACTGTGTTAGAGCTGTCATATCCACAAGCTGCTCCTGGCATTATACCTAAAGCGGACATCGCCATTGGCTGCATTAACAGAACTCCCATGCAGCCTTGTTTACAAGTTCAAACACTGGAATGTGAGATGTAATCTACACCTCCATTAGGATGATATAAATCCTCATTATTTAGTTTTGTGATTTTTCAATTTGAGCATAATTATTTCTATATAGCCTACACTCTCTCGTTCTAATCTTCTAACGCGAGTGAGGCGGGTGTGGCTTCGTGACAATGATCGTAAGAGCAGCTACTCACGATTTGACGGCTCCAACCCAGGTCCACCTTTGACACCGCCAAAACATCCGCTATGCGGGTGTGTGCTATCGCTGGTTAACACTTGATCTGATTGAATCTAGGCCTAAAACTAGTTCTGTATTAAAAAGCACTTTCAATGGAGATTCTTCATTGCTTTGTGTACTGTATGGACCGCAAACCAGTCTATACAGTACCGGTCCATACAGCCTCAAACCAGTCCATACAGTACCGGTCCATACAGCCCCAAACCAGTCCATACAGTACCACAAACCGGTCGATACAGTACTGAAAACCAGTCCATACAGTACCACAAACCGGTCCATACAGTACCACAAACCGGTCCATACAGTACCACAAACCGGTCCATACAGTACCACAAATCGGTCCATACAGTACACACAAATAGACACAAAGCTGTGCAATGATTTGTGACAGATATGAGACCGGGGATACTCACCACACTATGCCTGTTAGTAGAGACAGATATGAGACCGGGGATACTCACCACACTATGCCTGTTATTAGAGCCAGATATGAGACCGGGGATACTCACCACACTATGCCTGTTAGTAGAGCCAGATATGAGACCGGGGATACTCACCACACTATGCCTGTTAGTAGAGCCAGTCTCCTCATCTTTGGGGTCCTCACCAGGTCCAGGTAGGAGTAGGTCTTGTTATGGTTGTCCACCACAACCACATCGGACAGGTGCTAAGCAGTATGCATGGGAGAGGGGCTCAGTTAGTTCCAGTGTGTTGCATTTATGGCTAGTGTATCCTCCACATATATATTTGTGCTTCAAACCTCTGCTCTTTCTAACACTTCATAACTGTAATAAAGCTGTATAGATGATTGCATGCCATGTACATTTTTGCATAAGAGTAATTATTAGCAGTAATCACTAGCAACTGAAAATGTTTGCATTTACCTCAAGTTTGATTTTGGATGTGAAGTCCTTTCTGTTGTTAAAACGAGCACATTTCTCCAGGTAAAGACGGGCTCCTTCCACTTTGCCGTTGGCTATGAGCCACCTGGCAGACTCAGGGAGCCACCTGCAGTGATGATGAACCATTACAATGGGTCAAAGCACAATAATAACCAGTTCCCCGCATACTGTAGTGAATTTGGAGTGTAGCCTCAAATCCTGACTCAGACTTGGGTTCCTGTGACTCGCAGTCCAACACTTTAACTGTTATGCCAAGAAGTGGTCCGACCGTCTTGATGAGGTCACTAAGGACCTTGTACTAAGGTCACTACAATACTGTAGTGAACTATATTTAAGCAATAAGGCCCGAGGGGGTGTGTCATATGGCCAATATACCACGGCTAAGGGCTGTTCTTAGGCACGATGCAATGCATATAACACAAACCGCCGAGGTGCCTTAATGCTATTATAAATTAGTTACAAATGTAATTAGAACAATACAAATAAAATGTTTCTCTTACCCGTGGTATACGGTCTCATATACCACGGCTTTCAGCCAATCAGCATTCAGGGCTCGAACCACTCAGTTTATATTATACAGTAGTATACTGTATGTGATGCAAAATGTTGAATGTGCATTATTCAGGTGAGTTCTTCTACACCATGGTGGTGGATGGGGCTGGTTACACAAATAAAGATATGCATCTTGGTCTGCATCTTATACCATACTTTATCAAAAACATGTCAAATCCAGATATCCACAGATATGTTTAGGATATGGTCCGGATATAGCCCAGTGTATTCTTACCACCAAGTGATGATAGCCAAGCCCAGGGGGGCGGAGACAGCTATCATTAGCATCCGCCAATCATTCACTTGATACGCAATGCCCGCTAGCATCATGTTGCCAAACGACCAGGCCATGCTGCCCGTTATACCTATTAACGCCCGGTGCTTAATGTCCACCCACTCGACACCTTGAAATAAAGTAAATAGAGTTAAATAGTAAAATAGTAACAATATTATTGGGTTTCACATTACATGAAGTTTCTCTCATACGTGGTATTACTTTATATGAAGTTTCTCTTATACGTGGTATTACTTTATATGAAGTTTCTCTTATACGTGGTATTACTTTACATGAAGTTTCTCTTATACGTGGTATTACTTTACATGAAGTTTCTCTTATACGTGGTATTACTTTACATGAAGTTTCTCTTATACCTCCGTAACAACACTAACTACACTATTAAATACACTGTAATGTATTAACATGTTGTTAGGTTATACTTTCATAACTGATTTTAAATTGCATAGCAATGGAGTCTAACATTTTGTTAACAGTTCATATGAAAGCTATAGAGCTTAGCTTACTGAGAACGGTTGAGATGATGCTGATGCCTGTAAGTCCAAAGCCGGTAAAGAATCTCATCACTGCGAACATGGTATAGGAGTCAGAGAACGCGCTGGCAAATCCAAATACCATGGATATGGTATAGGACACCAATAGCATAGGCTTCCTCCCAAACCTGGAAAAGAGCATTCAAGAAAGACAGCCACTAATAATGAACTCAATTTAAAGAAAGAATGTAGATATCAGGTATTGGGGTAAAAGCACCTACTTGTCAGTGAGGGTACCAAATGCTATAGCTCCCATCATCACCCCAACAAAGAAAATGGTCGCTGTGGCTCTATTCATGCCTTTTCTGTCACAGACAAGGTCCCACTTTATAGAAAGAGGAGCAATGATAGTGAAAGTCAAGAAAACATGCATTCACAATTCCAATTAGATGTACCAATTGAAGCAGGATAATAATAATTATAGTATGTTACTTAAAGTGGGGACAATATCTAACCAGTGAAATTCTGATTGAATAAATGGACACAGAATTGCATGTAATGTGGCTATAACAATAAACCAGGGAATTTGAAAATAATTGACTAACTCTGATGGGTCTCATTTAAAACCGTTTTCTCTCTTAATGGTCTTACAGATATTTCAGTTTGGTTCTGTGTTGTGTTCATGGGTCAAGACACTGTATAATTTGCTCAAAGCCTTGGTTAATACAAAATGACATTAATCTGCTGGCCGTAGGTCGGGGGGCCGGAACATCATTATAATCATTAATGTACTGCAAATAGACGACAATTAAGACCAAACTGGCAAGAAGTCTACATTTCATTTGACAATATCATAATAATTTCATACCTTGTTTACACTGAGACAGGATCACACACTGTTTGTCTCTCTATTTAATCATGGGAATACTTGGGAATGGAATTGCCAAAGTAAAATACTGAATTCCTTATTTATTTTTTAGATTTTTTATTGATTTATTAAGAACACTTTTGGGGCCAAATAAAATTGCTTGCAGAACGAATTTGGTCAATGGGCCACCTATTGTCTTCCCCTGCATTATACCTTTTATTTTGTCCACCTTTGTCATTTGCTTTGGGCTTTGAACCGTTAGAATCAGCTATCCACCACTCAACTGATATCATTGGAAGTAAATTGATTATTTTACCTCTGTAGCCAGAGTGGATTTGAAGGTGCTGTTGTCATATGCCCATCCATTCTGACAGGGGACTGTAGCTAGGTCACTGTTATTGGAGTTGGACAGGAGGTGGAACTGGGGCTCTGGGAACATCTTACAGGAGCTTGGAGTCCCGTCTTCCTGTACTGGAACACTGACAGTCAGTCTCTGCTCCTGGGTCAGATTCCCAAAGACGCTGCCATCATCCAGAGCGCTGAGATCACAGTGGTGAGAGGGTACGGCCGCTATGAAGTTATTCAGCAGGAAGTGACACGGTAGTATCACTCGAGGGATACAGAGCAGAGTGACGATCAGCACCTGAAACCATCCACAGCCATCGGTCTCCTCTAGAATGTTTTCAAATTTCATCCTCAAGCTTGGGCAAGAGGGCGATCCTTTGCAATACGGCTAAAAGTGGAAGACAATCAATTTAATTTAAGTCATGCAGAAAATTGTCACATACTCTACTGTGTTGTTTGTATGTTGTCTGCAATGTGGAAAATGTGAGTGAGCTAATGTACAGAAGTAGGATCTTAATTTGGTCACCCTGTTCCAGGAGAACTTTCCTGCAATGCAGGCAATTTAAAACGTGTTGTGTATTTGAGGTTTAAAAATTAAAAAGGCATCTGAAGTTTGTAATTTCCACTGAAAAATGTATCAACCCCTACAAAAATGTCCATTAACTAAAACTCTAAGCCGTTGGGGGTGTGTGTGTGTGTGTGTGTGTGTGTGGGGGGGGGGGGGGGGGGGGGGGTTCTACTAAGCTAAAATATGGAATTATTTTAAGATGGTCATACCATGGATCATTTAGCTATTTTATTTAGAATTTTAGAAACAGATTAAATAACACATCCATGGCAAATAGCAAAAAAGTCAGCCAAAAAATAAATCATAAAGAATAAGGTGTTGAAGTGTCTGTCCTATATCTAGGAGATATAAGAAGGCTCAGGAAATATATTAGTTTTTTTGGACACATATTTAACCCCTTATGTTTGTTGGCACAAAACTACCTCCATACTTCCATTCGTTTGTATGGGTTACATTTATATGAGTCCCGTGACACTTGTGGGGTTCGTAGAGCAAAACTGAGAACACCATCATGTTTGTGAGAGTCTCCCATTTCCACAGTGGGGTCATATTAGTTTGTAACCCAAACGGTTCTGACGCTAAAGACAGAAGTTGGCACATCAGCTTCAGATGAGTCCCGTGGGGCTTATGGGGGTCATAGAGCAAAACCGTTTGGACGCTACATACGTTTTCGTGAGAAGACCGATTTTCGGGATGTCTTGGTCTGACAAACATTGGCCGACAAAGGACGCAGTCGTTGCAAAAAAACGTCTATTTTTTGCTTAAACTGATAGATTTTGATAGGGATTTATTTTATTATGTTACTTAGATTGACGCACGGATGCGTCAATAGACTCTTAAGGATTCTAATTATAATCCACATAATAATTCACATTTCCTGTTGCTGAGGATTATTTTCCTGCTGTAGCAAACTGGCTCAAATTAAGATCCTACATCTGTATTCATCCACAGCGCTTGAGAGGATTAAATCATTTATGACTTACTTAGTAGAGGTCTTGGGTCCAGAGAGGGTGGGCGAGAGACTCTTCTGGCCAGCACTTCCCGCTAGCAGTGAGACCACTGACAACTCTCCGCACAGGTCGAAGTCTTGAGTCCTAAGAGCTAGCCTGCCTTCTGATGCCCCCTCTACTGGCAGTCCTTCTCAAGTAGAAGTAGCTAGGTCTCTAAATCCCCTTCTTTGAGGAAATACGTTCCCAGACCCCAGACAACCAAAATGGGAAACAAAGTTTATGCCACTGCCAGACTCAATCACACTCCCCCATCTCCCCACCTCCCGAACCCCTGTGCTGGGAGCAGAGTTCAGAAACTAGACTGTTGTGTTAGCTGACAGCTGGACCAGTGTGAGGCAAGCACATTGGCCAAGAGCTGAGCTGTTCTGATTAGAGAGGTGTGACAAACATTTTATAACATTATATAACATTGTTTATATTATATTTTGTTGTCACAAGATATTGGTACATTGATACACTGTTGACATTGTGCATAAGTCAATATGGTTCATTGTCCACACACCCAATGTTTTTCTTTTGAGTGTTTTCACATTCTTGTAATAAACATGCTGTGATACACAAAAAAGTTGGATCTGTATTCAGATCAAAGGTACTGACACCAAAGCCTCGTTTACACCTTGTGCCAACATATGAGTTATGTGATCTGATCAATATGATCCAATCACTATCTGATCAAGGTTTGTCACGTATTCACATTGTATTCAAATTTCTCTCTTATGCGTCCACTCTGTCGGCATTGTTACCAGATTATCTGGTGCCTCCTTGTATGCAAATTATTTAGGACTCCTGAACATCTAATCAAATGGCTACCCAGACTATTTGCATTGCCCCCCACCCCTCTTTTACGCTGCTGCTACTCTCTGTTTATTATCTATGCATAGTCACTTTAATAACTCTACCTACATGTACATATTACCTCAATTACCTTGACTAACCGGTGCCCCCACACATTAACTCGGTACCGGTACCCCCTGTATATAGCCTCGCTATTGTTATTTTTACTGCTGCTCTTTAATTATTTGTTACTTTATTTCGTATTATTTTATATTGTATTTTTGTGTGATTTTTTTGGGTATTCTTTCTTAAAAACGACATTGTTGGTTAAGGGCTTTCTACTACCATTCATAATTTCTAAACTATAAAGCTTGTTGTATCCCCATTCATTTCAATTGCGGAATAAAGGCTTCAACATTCTGAAATCACTGCCACAAGACTTTCAGAATGTTCAAACTAAAACATTTTGAGAGCTTAAAAACCCATTATATGGCTTATGATCATATAGTACTCACTCTAGGCTACTATACTAGCCCACTATAACCCACTATAATAACTCCACGACAACAAACCACCCCAAAATAGGTCACTATAACTAACACAAAGCCTATGAAAACCCTATTACTACCATTACTACTACTACCATTCCTACTGCCGTTACTACCACCACTATTAATACTATTTCACAACCATACATACTTCAAGACTAGCAAGCACACCACATTTACTTCAGTAAATGTCATTTTCTAGTTGACAGATATTCTTTCAAAATAATAAAAATGTATTTATTTTAAGATTATTACTGATGCCATAAGTCAATGGTGCTACATGTCAATGATTTTAGAGGCTGTGATGATTTCAAGGGTTTGACCATGCGGATATATATATAGATATACTGTATATCCTCAATTAAAATAATTCAATATACACTGAGTGTACAAAACGTTAAGAACACCTTCTTAATATTGAGTTGCAATTTTGAGTTGCATTGAGTTCCACAGGGATACTGGCCCATGTTGACTCCAGTGCTTCCCACAGTTGTGTCAAGTTGGCTAGATGTCCTTTGGGTTGTGGACCATTCTTGATACACACTACATTTACATTTAAGTCATTTAGCAGACGCTCTTATCCAGAGCGACTTACAAATTGGTGCATTCAACTTAGGATAGCCAGTGGGACAACCACCCTTTTTTTTTATGGGGGGTGGGGGAGGGGGGTTGGGGTAGAAGGATTACTGTTATAGAAACCGTGAGTGTGAAAAACCCAGCAGCTTTGCAGTTCTTGACCCAAACCGGTGCGCTTGGCACTTACTACCATACCCCATTCAAAGGCACTTAAATCTTTTGTCTTGCCCCTTCAACCTCTGAATGGCACACATACACAATCCATGTCTCTTGTCTCAAGGCTTAAAAATTATTCTGTAACCTATCTCCTCTCCTTCATCTACACTGATTGAAGTGGATTTAACAAGTGACATCAGTAAGGGATCATAGCGTTCTTAATGTTTTGTACACTCAATTGACAACATATTTATACAAATATATTAATATGTTTGATCTCAAGTACTGTGTGTATGTTAACTCTGCTCTTCTCAGGAAGCTTTGGGTCAATCTACATTTCTCAAGGTTGTCTTTGTCTCCATTGAATATGTTTGACTGTTTGAATGCACGTCAAGACCTACAGACCACGAAGTGATCATCTAACTGAAGTGAGGTTTCCATATTGACCAATGAGAATGTATGTGGTTCTGTACTAACCAATGATAATGTAGAGTACATGTTTATGTAAGTTGAAATAATACAGTATAAGAGATGTAAAACTCAGGTCTTGGTACGGTGTTAATTTGAACCCTTCAGTTGATGCATCATTAAAGAGGTTGAACCTGGAAGAACTGTCCGAGATTCCTTGAGTTGTATCCTCACTCCTTTACAAGTCTGACCTCGTTATTTGGTCAACAGTAGTTTACTGTTTGCTTTATTCAGTGAATTCGCTTGACATGCTCATGGACTATGGCATTGCTTCTTTGTGCCCATTGGCCTACTACAGGATCAATGCTGCTTTAGTTCCACAGTCAAGGAGACACAAATTATATGTTTGTCTTCAAAAGAGAACTTGTCTTTAGAAGATTAAAGGGGTCCTGTATTCTTGAGTTCTAAATGAAACAGCTGCACACACTCCTGTACTTAAAAGAAAATGGTTGGATGGATGTGTGCATTACTTTAGAACTAGCTATTTTATCAATCGTCTGAAGCACTGCCAAGGATTGGATTGATTGCTTGAACACCATGGTTACAGCCCTAAGCTCTTCATTAGCACCTCTTAGGGCAGAGGGCCCAAACTACATTCAGCCGCGCGCCGAACTTTTTTCACAACATAATTATAAATCATTTGTAGACCGCAAATTTAGCGCAAGAAGCCCAAACATAATTTGTATTTCACAAAAACATAATAATTTAAAACCTTTATTACATTTGGATAGGATCACGTCTCTCCATATATGCGTGGGAATACTTGGGAACAGATTTCCTAAATTAAAATCACTTTGAGCTGATTTCCTGGTGTTTCACAGTCTCTTTTGTCCAACAACGAATTACTTTCCCATCTATACAATTTTCTAGCGCTGAGTCTCTACTTTTAGCCAATGTAAAAAACACCATTTTAAATGTTGCTACATAAGACTGAATCGAGCCAGTCGGTCACATACAGTGGGGAGAACAAGTATTTGATACACTGCCGATTTTGCAGGTTTTCCTACTTACAAAGCATGTAGAGGTCTGTAATTTTTATCATAGGTACACTTCAACTGTGAGAGACGGAATCTAAAACAAAAATCCAGAAAATCACATTGTATGATTTTTAAGTAATTAATTTGCATTTTATTGCATGACATAAGTATTTGATACATCAGAAAAGCAGAACTTAATATTTGGTACAGAAACCATTGTTTGCAATTACAGAGATCATACGTTTCCTGTAGGTCTTGACCAGGTTTGCACA